ATTCATTAGGGACCTAAGGACAGAGTAGAATTGCCGCAGAGAGTTTTCAATACCATTGTCTTTATGGGAAAGAGCCCTGGTGGCACCGTGGGGCAAGCGATTTGAACCCACGAGCCGTTCTATGGAAGAAAGACAACGCAACCGGCTTCTGTAAAGATTCACAACCCAGAAAGCCCTCACAGGAAGTTCTACTTGGTCACGTGGAGTCGGTATGAGTAGGAGCTGATTCAATGGCAGTGGTTTGGGTCTTTTTCCAATCTTTACAGAAGCAGTATGCCGCATCTTTCTCCCACAGAGAGATGCATGTGCTGGAAGAACTGACCTTGTGGTTAGCAGTTGAGTGCTTAACCATTGTGCTACCATCAAGACTCCTTCAAGTTTATATAAACCCATTGTTTTTGCGTTGATCCCCACTCATAGAGACCCTACTGGACACAATAGAACGTTCCAGTAGGTTTTCTAGGAGCTCTGGTGTGGCACTATAGGATAAGCATAGTTGCAAAGTTGACAGTTCAAACTCACTAGCCACCCCTGAGATCTCCTATTCAGGATCACTGTGTATTGGAACAGACTCAGTGTCACTTAACAACAGCTTTAAGGAAGCATTCTGCCACATCTTTCCCCCTGAGAGTGGGAGGTGGGTTTGAACCATCGACTTTTCAGCTTACAGTCAGGCACTTTACAAATGCACCACCAGCGCTCTTTATAGCCAGTATAGGACAGAGAAGTCCCATTTGGAAAAATACAGGAAGTCAAACAATTATCCCACCACAGAATGTAAGACTGTCATCTCAAGAAATGAAGCATAGCTTGAAATGGAAGCAGGGACAGTCCTGATCAGACAGACAGTGGAAGGTCGCCACATTGCTAAGCTAAGGAGCCGCCAAGGGAAGCCTCCAGGTATACCAGCTGGCATGGAAGTTGCCCAAGGAGAAGGCCACGTAGCAGCACATGGAGCCGGTGATGGTCCATTTGCAGCCAAATTTCTTGATGAGCAGTGATGGCAGGAACATGGAGGACAGCAAGATGGTTCCGTAGAGGGTGCTGAGAGCCGTGAGACCCAGGCCCGACTCGCTGTTAAGGCTACTCTGTGGAAACAAAGCAAACACAGGGAAGAGAGGTCAGGGTAGGCTCTGGGGTTCACCTTGGCTTGAGACCACCTTCATACCTCAAAGCTCTAGGGCAGGTGATATGAGGCATGTGGGATCAACTGCTCCTAAGTCCTTATCCATTGCAGTCGAGTCATGTGGCAGACCCCATGTGACAGGGTAGAAGTGCTCCATGGGTTTGCCTGGAGCACTTGTCATCTTAATGGAAGTTGACTGGAAGACCTTTCTTCTGCAACATCACTGGATGGGTTTGAGCTGTCTGCCTTTAGGCTAGTAGACAAATGCTAACTATGTGTGCTACCCAGGGAGCCTTTCTAATTTAGGGAGAGGGGAATGGGAGTGCTGGCGTTGGGGTGCAGGTGGGAGTAGGTGGACTGGCCCAGCAGGTGGAGTGGCCTCTTGCATTCTGAGGAATCTGCCTTTGAAGAGACAACAGTGCAAAGAGGTTCTTGAGATGATGAGGAAGCAGTAATTTTTCAGACACCTCCTGGAGAGTCAGGTTCCCTCTCTGAGTCAGAGAAGAGAGCAAGGAAGATGGGGAAACGTAGGAAGAAGAAGGGAAGGAAGGAGACAAAAAGGTGGAGGAGGAAAAAAAGGAGGAGGAGGAAAGAAAAGAGGAGGAGGAAGAAGAAAGAGGAAGAAGAGGAAAAGAAGGAAAAAGAGACAGAGAAGGAAGAAAATGGGTAGGAAGGTAAACAAAAAGGAGGAGAAAGAGAAGGTGGAGGAAGAAGGGTAAGATGAAGAGGATGAGGGAGGAAGAGAAGGAAGGAAGAGGAAGTGAAGGAGGAAGAGGTGGAGGAGGAAGTAAAGGAAAGACGAAGGGGAAGAGGAGGTGAAGGAACAGAGGGAAGAGGAGGAAGAGGTGGAGGAGGTGGGGGTGAAGAAAGGAAGACGATGCTGAGAAGGAGGTGGAGGAAGAGCAGCAGAAGGAGGTGAGCCCTCATGCCCCCACCCAGCCAGTTCTTCCTCTGTGATCCTCCTCTCCATCCCCCCCCAGGTTTTTTCAGGCCCCCACCCCAGCTCAGCTCAGCCCCCCAATCCAGGATGCCTGTGGCACTCCCGGCATTGTCCAGACACCAGAGGTGCGGAAATGGCTTCAGCACAGGCATGTCTGAGGAATTTAGAACCCTTATCTGAGACACCCACCATTTAGAGTGTCTTGTAATGTGTCAGACACTGAAATAAAGCTAAGTTGAGCAATCCTGGTGTGGCACTGTAGGGTAAGCACTGCACTGTTAACCAATCACAAGGCTGGTGGTTCAAACCCACCAGCTGCTCCTTGGAAACCCTATACAGGGCCACTATAAGTCAAAACTGACTGGACAGCGCTGAATTACAACAACATAGCTAAACTGTTCCATCAATTCTGACTTGGGTAGAAATACTCCATAGGTCTTAAAGGGGAACTTTCAGAAGCAGATTACCAGCCTGTGTCCTGAGGTACCTCTGGGTGGGTTTGAACTGCTGTTTAGTCAAGTGTACCAATGGTTTGCAACACCTCGCCATCTTTTAAGCTAAAACCCTTTCTTGTGGAGTGAGTTCTGACTCACAGTTGACCCTGTAAGGCCAAGGAGAGCTGCCCCATAGGGTTTCTAAACTACAATCTTTATGGGAACAGAGTGCTACATCTTTCTCCCATGGAGTGGTTGCTGGGCTCGAACCAACAACCTTTCTTTCAGTTAGCAGCTGAGCACTTAGCCTTTAGGCCTCACTGAGGCCAGTGGACTGGGCCCTAATCCAATATGTATCGTTATTGCTGTTAAGTGCCAGTGAGTCGGTTCCGACTCATAGTGACCCTGTATAGGGTTTCTGAGGAGCAGCTGGTGGGTTTGAACTGCCGACCTTGAAGCTCAAACTAATCTTGTGGTCCAGCACATTATCCTGCAGCTCCACCCCAGAACCTCTGGTCCAACATTACTGCTATCTTTATAAGAAGAGGAAGGTTTGGTCATGGAGGTGCAGAGACCGTGACTGAGGTGTTATCATCCCCATGTTAAAGATGAAGAAAGGACACTAAGGACCTTCCGCGGTCCTTCAGAGAGTGAGCTTGTGATGAGAAGTACTTCAGCCCGTGTCTACAAGATTCCAAAGTAGAACTTTCAATGTGCTGGCCATGAAAATTCCTTTCTACCTGGTTCCCTTGATAAGACAGAATGTCTTGTACCCAAAGTCCTCACATAACGCTGCCAGATTAGATCGCAACATGTTTCTTTGACCCCATCACTCCATGTCCCTTGGGTTGATTCAGCCTGGCTCTTCCACTTCAGGCTTTGCACCTGTTCTTTCTCCACCAAGCCAAATTTACCCTTCATCTCTGTCCAATCTCACCTTCACCTTCCGAAGTATACCCACTCTCTAGGGCACAGATCAAGGGCCATCTCTTGATCATGGTCCTCCATGACTGCCCACTCGTGGACATCAGCCCTCTTAGCTTGCTACAGAACTGGCCTCTCTAAGTCTCTTCACCTCTGGCTGGACCACACCTCCTCAAACTCCTCCCAGAAAGCATAGAAGACAGGTACCGCTGCTCAGTTCAGGACAGCAGGGGAGGGGGCTCTCTGCATCCTGACTAGGCTCAATGAGACTGATAGAGAGGGGTGGAACCCACTGTGGCCTTTAGCCACCCTTCAAGCCTGGACCTAAACTCACGCCTTCAGCTCAGCTTTCAACCTATGAGGTGAACAACATCAGGGAGGCATGCATGCCTTAGATTAATCAGTCATACCAGTACAAAATCAAAAGTGCAACATTTGCCCATGACTAAAGTTCAGAAGGCAGGAAGGAATAGGAAAGGAGGATGACTAGAAGCAGTGAACACAGGGAAGAAGTGGGAAGAGTGTTGTTACATGGTGGGGATTGCAGCCAATTTCAGGAATCTTTCATCTAAATCACAACGAAAAGTTTAAAAAGAAAATACTGTGCACACAGTAGATGCATCCTAGGAGGTACTGAGAAGATGCGCCCTAGCTCTGGCCTGTGTTCTGACCAGCCCCTGCATACCAGAGACATTTGGTCCATGGTGACAGAGCCACCCCAGGAAGACGAAACATGCCCTATCTAACGCCACAGTATGCTCAGCTAAGTCCACACCTTCTAGAAGAAGTTGTTAGGCATCTGGGCTGGTGGACCTGAGGGGGAGAGGATGTCATTCTCATCATTGCGTCTGATCACAAAGTGCATCCCATTAACAGTGACTCATCTTGTATCTCATGCCTCCACCTCTGCCTCATGTTGCCACCTGTGTCCAGCCCAACCAAAGACAAAGAATGTCTTGTATTTCAAATCACAATCCAGATCCTTGCCATCTTTGTCCAAGGGTTAACCATGCAGATGACTGTGCATTTTGGTGCTGTTGTCAGTTGCTGTCAGGTTGATTCCCACTCACAGTGATCCCGTGTGTGCAGAGAAGGACTGGTTCCCACCCATGGTGACCCCTGTGTACATAGAAGGACTACTTCCCACTCATGGTGACCCCATGTCTGCAGAGAGAATTGATTCCCACTCATGGTGATCCCTGTGTACAGAAAAGACCTGTCAGTTAAGAGTCCATTGGCATGCTGGTGGGAACCATACACTGTAGGAATACATACAAAGCACTGCTGTCTACTTCAGAAGGTTCTTTGGAGAGGGACAGGAATTCCAGGGTGGCTTTTCCTCCTCCTGTGACTATGGGGATTCTTGGATGACCAGGGAAGTGTGGCCTGAAACTAAGTCGGTGCTCACACACACCCACCTGCAGATTCTGCAGCGCCCCATAGGCTGTGAACAGCAGGAGGAACCCAAAGGAGACCACAAGCACGTTCTTCAGACTGCTGTCCATTGTGCCGACTGCAAGCAGCAACCATCAGCAGACGGAGAAATCTGTGGCTGCCTAAAAGAAACAAATGGGGGAGAGGAAAAGCCGTCGGGACTAAGATTTCCTTCTTCTCTCTCATCCGAGTCAAAAGTCATCATCATTGCTGCTGCCAGTTAATGGATACCCACAGGCTGGCTGAGGACTGTGATCTTCACTTTCAATCCACAGCGAGAGCCTCCTGAAGAAACCCAGGGCTTGGAGTCTTATCACCTTGGAAGTGACTGCAGTTTCCCTAGGAACTCCTGGTAGGACAGATCCTTACTGTAACGTGGTAAATTTCACACAGACACACACTTACACTCACACAAAGGTACACTCCTGATTAGGAGAAATCGTCGATGGTGCAGAACCTGGAGTTGACTTCAGTCTAAAAGAACTGAGCACACACGTCAGCTGCAAGATACATAGTTCAAATTCTGAAAAAAGAATCAACAGAATTAAAAGATTCAGGGACCAAAGTCGAAGTAACTCAAGGACTATATCATTTTACAACACTGGAGTAATAAAATAAAAAATGAAAATTAAAAAGAAGAATTTATGTAAGTGTTGTTGTTGTTGTTAAGTGCCATTGAGTCATTTCTGACTCATAGTCATCCTCTATAGGGCTTCTGAGGAGCGGCTGGTGAGTTTGAACTACTAACCTTGCAGGAAGCAATACAGTGCTCACCCTATAGAGCTACACCAGAAGTGTATGTAATGGTTTACATTCTGCAAATTGCTTTCTTGGGCTCATTTTATGTGACCTCCCCACCCCACGACAACGCGGCCATAATTATCATGGGAACTCATGGCAGGCTCATGACAGGACAGGGGACAGAGCTTCAGAAAAGTGATGTCCGGCTTTGGGTTTATCACAGCAGAGGATTCCCTGCTGTCCGGGAGGGTAGCTGTTAGCCACTCATGGACTGAGTGCTTGAAACATGGCTGGTGCAACCGAAAAACTGAAGTTATGATTTCAATATGCACATGAGGCTATTCAACTGATCTGAGCAAAATGAAGTCTTTTACAACATCAATCATTCCTCTATTTATCTTTATGTTATATCTTCATCCATTGGTGAGGATTTTTGTTTTCTTTACATTGAAGTGAAAACCATATGGAAGACTTTGATCTTTTTAAGTCCTGTTTGCATTCATCTGCATATCACAGGTTGTTAATGAGTCTTCCCTCAAACCTGATGCCTTGTTTTTCTTCATAGAATCCAGCTTCTCTGATTATGTGCTCATATTGTTGTTGTTTTTGCTGAGCACCTTTAAGTACATTTTGACTCACAGCAACCCTGTGAATCAAAATGGGTTTCTGAGTTGCGGTCGGGGGTTTTGAACTGCTGAGTTAACGATTCAAGCATACAGATTGAATAAGTATGGTGAACGAATACAACCATGGTGCATAACCTTTCCTGATTTTAAACTATCCAGAGTACCCTTGTTCTAGTCAAACAACTGCCTCTTGATCTAAGTACAGGTTTCTCATGAGCACAATTAAGTGTTCAGGAACATTCATACTTAACATTGTCATCCAGAGCTTGTCATGATCTACACATTCAAAAGCCTTTGTGTAGTCAATAAAGCACAGGTAAGCATCTTTCTTTCATCCAAGATCCATCTGATATCAGCAGTTATATCCCATTTTCTAAGTCCTCATCTGAATCCCGCCTGAACCTCTGGCAGTTCCCTGCCAATATATTACTGCAGCTGACTTTGTAATCTCTTTAGTAAAATTTTACTTGCATGTGATATTAATGATATTGCCCAATGATTTCCATATTCTGTTAGGCCACCTGTCTCTGGGGTCCTCTACAGGTTTGTTATGAGTTGGAACAGACTGGAGGCCACACATCCTCACCTCAGGGCATTGGAAAATGTGTGGGACTTTCAGACACTAGATGCTCCTGTGTCGATGGCATTAAGCACGACATAGTCACAGTCATTATACTTCCTGCTGAGAAGCTGAAGAGTGCTCTTAACTTGAGGGAAATCAAATCAAGTGGTTTGCTCTTTTAAAGAGAGCACTCGCATAAGCAAATTAATATTAATTTTCTTGACATTTCGATCTGGCATCTTTGCTAATAATAGCAGTTCCATATTTGTTTTTAATTTTTGTCTACACCACTGTGTAGATAAAATGCCTGCCTATGGAATGTTGTTGTTGATGATAAGTGCCGTGGAGTCAGTTCCGACTCATAGCGACCCTGTACAGGATTTCTGAAGCTGTAAATCTTACCAGAAGCAGAAAGCCTCATCTTTCTCCCACTGAACAGCTGGTAGTTTTGAACTGCTGACCTTAAGGTTCCATAGCTCGATTTGTAATCACTATGCTAACAGAGCACGTTATTGTCTACTTTAGGAATCCCTTCAGTTTTGGATAAAGGTATTCAGTGAGTTATTTTAAAATCACACAAAAAAAGTCATTTCTGTGAGCATAGCTCTGGCTTGAGAACATGCTTTCACCTGACAAACACTGTAAACCACCTGGGAGCTTGGGGAGGACTGTACTAGGTCCACATGGCAAGTGGGCTGCCTATGAGGATGCCCAGCGAGATTCTCGAACACTGGTCAGAGGTGCCACCTCCGGAGAGAGCCGGCATTCCCTGAACTCAGAGCTTCTCCTGGAAAACCCCAATGACAGCAAGTCGAATTCAACTCATAGGACCCTGGATAGTGCTTCCGAGGCTGGGACTCTTTGGGAGCAGAAATCTTTATCCCTAGGACGGCGAAGACACCTAGCGAGTCTATATAGTGGTTCTGAGGCTAAGTCTTTACCAGAGCAGACAGCCCCATCTTTCTCCTGTGGAGCAGCTGATGGGTTTGAACTACCAACCTTTCCATTACTAGCTCAGCGCTTATCCCACAGCATCATCAGCGTTCTTTAGAGCTTTTCCCAGCTGAGTCAAAACACGAGAGAGAGTGCTCTGTGAGGGGAGGGTTCTGTGAAGGGTAGGGTCCGTGGGGGGTGGTGTCCATGGGAACTGAGCTCTATGAGGGTGGTTTCCATGGGGGCTGGGCTCTATGAGGGTGGTTTCCATGGGGGGGTGTTCTGTGAAGGGTGGACTCATGGGGGTGGGCTCCATGGGGCATGGGCTCTGTGTGTGGGGTGGGCTTAGCAGGGTGCTGGTTGAGACCCCTCTGCTCACCCTTTACTTCTCACCTCACTGCAAATCCTCAGGTGAGGGCACACAGGGGAAGCCCCACATCATGAATCGCACCAGCCTCCCTCCCTCTGAGTTGTTGTCAGGCTTCCAGGTCCTGACGCTGGGAGCCTTCCTCTCCAATGACATCTGATAAGACAGAGACTCTCCTCATTTGTAAGAGGAAGCTGGAGAGACGCCAGATCTGCCTTCCCTCCCTGTTGACAACTCTGCCTATCCAGCTGGTTTAACAAGAAACTCCAGATCAGAAACTGTGCAGCGCTCTGGAGTGTGCAGCTGGGTCGTGGAAGGGACTGGCTTTGAAAACATTGGTGAGCACAAGTGCACACATAAACACACGTGCATTTTTACATATGTACACAGGCACGCATAAGTACACAGTAAACAAGAAAACACACACAGGCACACAGTACACAGTACACATGAACACAAGCATGCACAGGCACACAGTACACATGAATACACA